CATTGTTTTTTGCCTTTCGTTGTATCCCCAAAGTCTTAGTGCAGTTTTAAGTTATCAAAACTTAAGACTTGGGGACAGCTAGGTGGTGCAGTGGATAGAGCACCAGCCCTGAAGTCAGGAGGACCTGAGTTAAAATCCAGCCTCAGACCAAACACTTGACACTTACTAGCTGTGTGACCCTGGGCAAGTCACTTAACCCCAATTGCATAAAAGCAAAAAAACAAAAACAAAAAAAATTCAAGACTCAGTGAAAGCACAAACTATTAAAACTTAAAACCACACTAAGACTTTTGGCACACCCTATAAAAAGTGTCTAATAAATGCTCATTGACTGACTGCTTCAGTTTCCTCCTCTATATGACAAAGATGACAATCCTTATAGATCACAGGACTGTTATGAGGCTCAAATGAGATTCTATTTTAAGGCACTTTGTAAACCCTGAAGCTGTTGTATAACACTGTGTGATCCTACCTCTACAGACACACCCGAAGAGGCAGGTTAGCAAAGTGGAGAGAGTTTGGAATTAGAGAGACCTAAATTCAAAAACTACCTTAGCTTTAGAGTGACCCTAGACAAGTCATTTTCCTCTCTGTGCCAGGGTAGGGAAGGGAGAGGAGGGAAACACAGACAAATGTACCTTTACAGCTGGGTATCTCTCCTGACAGACTGTAGAGGGTGGTTCATTCATACCAGAGAAGAAAAGGCACAGTCTCCAATTTTCTAATATGATGCCTTCCTGGAAATTGTGTCATAAAGTAAGCCAGAGTGTCCTAAATTTGGACTGAGCATGCCCTGGTTGTGGTCATCTGCTTTGAATATATTTGTCATCACCAGCAGAAAGTTTTGAATGATCTGATAAAGGAATAAAAAGGAAAATACAAATGCTTCTTCTTAGGTGACATCAAATGGCAATAATTTATATTTTGCAAAGCATTTTTTTTAAACATTTGCTTCTCATAACAATCCTATGGAATCGGCAGGGCAAGTATTATTATTCCCATTTTACAGATGAGGAAATCTAAGATCAAAGAGCGGGTGTCCAAAGTCACACAGGATCAGAACTCAAACTCGTATCTCCTGATTCTTGGTCTTCCCACTAACCAAGGCCATCTCTCAAAAAAGCCTAGCAGTGAAAAGTCAGGAGGGAGGGCCTGGAACAGCCTTCAAGGACATAAAGAAATATTGTATAAATCATATCAAGCAGCTGCTCTCTTCTACCACGCACAGGCTTTTCAGTATAGCAAAGGAAAATCCAGATTTAGACTCTAGAATCATATGGAGAAGGACTTCCTCACCCCATGATTTGAGAAGCATTAGAATGTTACAGGATAAAATGAGAATTTTTTAAGAAAAATTACTTAGATCACTGGTTGTCCTAGGAAAACAATACTTAGGCAGATAGGTGGTGCAGTGGATGGAGCACTGGGCCTGAGTTCAAAGCCAGCTTCAGATACTGAATAGCTAGGTAACTCTGATCAAGTCATTTAATCCCGTTTACTTGTTTCCTTATCTGTAGATGGGGATAATAATAGTACCTTTCTCCCAGGATTGTTGTGATGATCAAATGAGATAGGAATTATAAAGTATTTTTCACAGTGTCTGGAACATACATAGAAGTTAGGTATTGTTATTCATTTTATTAAAATAGGTCAGGACCTCAGTGACCATCTAGTCCAATCAGCTTTGAAATACAAAAGAAGAGGGGACAGCTAGGGGGCACAGTGGATAGAACTCTGGCCTTGGAGTCAGGAGGATCTGAGTTCAAATCTGGCCTCAGATACTTGATACTTACTAGCTGTGTGACCTTGGGCAAGTCACTTAACCCCATTGCCTCGCCAAAAATAAATAAATACAAGAGAAGAAAGCAAAGCCCATGGTGGTATAGAGACTTGCATGTTTGACCTTAGGCAGGTCACTTCCTGTCTCTGAGTCTCATTTTCCTCATCTGTACAATGAAGTGAGCAGACCACATGGCTTCTGAGGTCCCTTCCACTTCTAATCTAGCTATTACCCTTTCTAATCATCCCTAGGAAGGAATCCCCAATTACAGGGTTAGCTGATCCCTCTCCTAGAGTTGTTTGTATTTTACTGAGTGACTCCCCATTCCCCCAAAAAAATTATCCCATATTTTTGTGTTTCTTTTGTAAAAAATTTAGCATCAGAGCCAATGCTCTTTTCATTTGGCCTGCATTTGTGTGTATGGGGGAATGAGTGTGTGTGTGTGTGTGTGTGTGTGTGTGTGTGTGTGTGTGTTCTGTGAGAGTTAAACACAATCCTGACTAAAGGCAGGGTTATGGACTACATAAGCTCTCAAATTTTCTTCCAGCTCTATGATTTATTGTATCCTGTGTCCAACACTTCAGTTCCAACTGACTGATGGCTGTATTCATCATGAATTACTTTTAGAAGGGCCGGTCAATGCCTTCCCTCATAGAACTGGTTAAAGAAATATCCCTGTAATTTCGGCTGCATTTCTTCCTTCCCACCACTTTTCATATCCTTTTTATTTCCCCAGGACTCTGATTTCATTCCTCATCCTCTGTTTTCTTAATCCATCATTATTTGTGAGACACTGCTGGCTGAGCATTGTATAATAGGCCTTGTCTCACCCTATTTACCATGCCCATTAAATCTATTAGTCTCAGTATACCATCAGCTTTTAAAAAGTGCCCCTTTCACAGGCTCTTTCTTACCTGTTCTAATGACATTGTTCAGTCTCCTGATGTCCTTTGAACACTCATGTCATTAGGCTCCAATTTCACTTTCCTTTTGATAATGACAAGATGGCTGACCTTTACAATCTTACTCTTGAGGCCTAACAGAGTATCCTTATAACAGGCACAAGCAGAGAGATACCTACTGAATGCTTTTTCTTTCCCTCCCTCTGTCCCTACCACTACCCCACCCTGCCCCCCAGGGTCCAAGAGTAGCTGCCACTGAAACTGTTCCCATTAGAAACAGACCTTTAATTACTCTCTCCCTCTCTGTCCATGGTTTAAACCTCCCCTCCTCCCACCCATCTACACCACTACCCCCCAAAAATGAGTGAATGAATACTGAATGTTATATTAGAAGGCTAGGACATACCTGTGAGAGCCTACTGTCCCTTACCTCATCTTAACATTTAGTCTCCTATTCCTTGCCTTTGACCCTCCATCCTGACATTTAAATCCTACAGCAGGAACCAATAGCAAAGCAAGCCTTCAGTAAAACTATGGGAAGGCTGAAGCTCATCTTGGGCACCCTTACGCTTCCACTCTGAGACCCTTCCCACCAGCCCTTCTGTCCTGACTCTGCTGTGCCAAATTTCCACAAGTCCTTGTTCACAGCTAGAGGCAATGTGATAGAGGAAAAAAAATTGGCCTGAGACTAAGACCTGTATTCAACAAACATTTCTCAAATGTCTAATATGTTCAAAGGACACAGGTTAGCTACTGTGGGATATAGAGCAGATGATTTACTTTCTCGGGACCCTTTTTCTCATTTGCAAAATTGGGAGACTGAGCCAGATGTCCTCTAAGGTTAGAAATGCAGCTTGGTACAGTGGAAAAGAGCCCTGGGCTTGAAGTCTAAAGGACCTGGTTTTAAATCCTGGCTCTGCCAATTACTGCATGTTTGGCCTTAGGTAAGGTCAAAATTCCTGTCTCTGAGCCTCCCTTTCCTTGCCTGCAAAATGAGGTGAGTGAACCAGGTAGCTTCTAAGGTCCCTTCCACTTTTAATCTAGCTATTACCTTTTCTAATCATCTCTAGGAAGGAATCCCTATTACCTGTTTAGCTAATCCTTCTCCTGGGGTTGTTTGTATTTTACTGAGTGACTTTACCTCCCCCCCCCAGAAAAGAATCCTGCATTTATGTTTATTTTGTGTATATATTTCATAAACAATATGTACATATTATTTCCTCTACTAGAATATAAGCTCCTATAGGGCAGTGGCTGTGTAATTTTGGCTTTGTATTCTTAGCACCTAACAGAATGACTGGAACATAGTTGGCACCCAATACATGCTTATTGATTTAGCATAAACCCTTTGGTTTAAGTCCTTGGACAACAAATCTGGAGGTTCTTATTAACAAGTGAAGAAAAAAGGAAGAAAAAAAATGATGCCTTTTTATTTCATTACTTTTTTTTTATATTTCCCAGAAATGCTTTCATTTTGAGACACTACTTCCTTCTCCCAAACTCCTTCCCTCCCGCATCCTACAGCTGGTAATCCTTCTCTAGGTGGGTGGGTTGGTTTTTAATAAATAAGTGAAACCAGCTTCTCTTCCAGGGGTGCTGAGACAGCATGGTCAATTCATTCTCTAGCACCTCACCTCTGGAGAACATGGTGTCTATCAGTCTTAGGGCACAAGTGGAATTAGTTAGAACCTCTTCTGGGTATTTATCCATGTCATAAACCAGAACCAAATTTATTGCAGCTGGCAGTGTCTACTCAAGGGAAGCCAGGGACTTGAACAGCAAGGGTGTCACAGGTCAGAACAGAGATGTATTGACAAGGCTGTGAGGGTAATCTAGCAACACCTGCCTGAGCTCCAGTGAGCTTAAATCAATCCCCTGCTCTATATTCTGCCATCAAAGAAATTTCTTCCAGAAGTTAAAGAACTTCAACAAAAAGCTCATCATTATCATCCCAACAATTGATTGTCATGCCAATTAAAGTACAATAAAACATGACTATTGAGTCATTTGTGGACTATGCCAGCATTTTTAATTACAGATCTCGAACATAACCCACAAAAAAAGAAACTTTTTTTATCTTCTTTTTTCCCCCTCCCATATTCAAGATAATCTTATCCGGATTGTCATGAAAGAATAATACTCCAGTCAAAAGAATATTCAATGCTCCTTCAGGCACTTTTCAGAATTCAGAGAACTGGCATATATTTAAAAACCAAATAGAGAAATCATGCATAACTTACTGAGCTAGGGGAGCTAAATTAGCAGAAGCTGAGTGAGAGGGTGATTCAGGGATAATACTTCAGCAGAATGCGGCCTACCTTTTAGCCCCAACTTTTCAAAGCCTCATCAGTGAACTGAAGGTTTATGTTGATGCTAAAATCATCTGCCAATTTGCGACTCAATCCCAAGCAGTCATAGATTCCCCAAGAGTGTCTATTTTTACACACTGGCGGCAGCCCCCTCAGGAAGAGCCAGTTTCCTTTCTGATGATTTTTCTGTGGTCTTCCGAGAGTCACGCTCTCCCATGGATGTTCCTTACTTTCACTAGAGGCCTTTGAGAAGTTGCCTTAATGTTGCTAATTACCTCAAGCAGCTGCCTAATGCCATTCCCAAGCTCCAATGTAGGCTGAAGTATTTATTTTAGCACTCTGCTGTGTCTTTGACTAGTGTCAAGGAGTGATTGGTCCAGCAGCACTCAGGGTGACAACAGGTGTCATATTTATTGGCTTTCCCTGGAAAGTAGGAAGGAAAGGCCCTGTGTCACTCTAAGATTTTCCTTCTGGGAACACTGGCTATCATGAAATCAGGCAGACTGAAGAATAAGAGTTTTGTCCTGCCCACTTCTCTCCTGGACAGAAAGTATAACCCTTACTGGCCAACCACAAAACTGCAGAAAATACTTCTTAGGTCAAGTGTTGAAACAGCAAATACGAGCACCACAATACTTTAGGCTATAAGTGGGTTTGGGGGGAAAATTTTTCTTTTTGCTATAAGATTACAGAGATTTGCATTATAATTTTTAATCACTTAATTTGACCTGTGGGCTGATATTTTACAGATGGCAAAGGCAATTTCTGAACTCCCTAATTTTCATATGAAAGCCAGGAAAGCTTGTTGAAGTAGAAAGAGACAGCTAAAGCATGGAGGGTAAGACATTCTTTCTGGCCCTGCTACCCATCCAAATTTCAAAAATGTTTCATCATCAGAGTATATCAGTGCATCAGACATTAAAGTAACGATCATTTAAAACAAATGTAATTGATAGTAGGTCCATTTTCAAAGAGGCAGTTAGAAACAATAACTCACAGTTCTCGAGTATTTTAATGATTACAAAGAACTTTCTTCATGACAATCCCATAAGATTATTAATGAAAGTATTATTGTCCCCATTTTACAGGTGATGAAACTGAGGCTCAAAGAGGTTAAATTGACTGGCATATTCATACAGCTAGTAAATACAGGGACCCCCATTCTTCTTTTTTTTTTAGCTTATGAACATTGAAACTGCACTAAGACTTTTGGGACATATGGGACTCAAGAGTCCTGAGATTATCTCCAATGTATCTTGTCCATTAGATTCTGAACTCCTTGAGAGAAGAAGCTATCTTTTTACTTTTCTTTGTTTCCCCAGCACTTAGCACAGTTGCCTGGCATGTAGTAGGTACTTAATAAATGCCTGTTCACTTGACTGTTGATTCCAAGTTCATTGATCCTTCCACTGTACCATGCCGTCTCCTATCTGGGGATTGTTAGTGCTTCAGCCTTCTTGTTTAGCCTTCTCTTCCTTTCTTTTTGCCAATGCTTTAAAATGCAAACCAGCTGCCTTTACTTCTCTTAGGATCTCAGTATCATAAATTTACGATAGAACTAGAAAGTATCTTAAAAGTCATTGAGCTCAACTCCCTCATTTTATAGATGAGGAAACTGATCCCAAGAAAGGTTAATTGAATTGCTGAGGGTCATAGAGCTAGGAAGCATCTGAGATACGATTCAAACTGGTCCAGACTTCAAGTCTAGCACTCTATCCACTATATATTATAAGCACCTTCTGAATTCTAGGCACTATTCAAGGTTCCCAGGAAAAAAGACAAAAATGGATGACAGTCCCTGCCCTAAGCCATTCTGCTGGTTGGTTACAGATTGAAAGAGCAGAAACCTTTATTGAGAACAAAACTGAAAGCAAGTTTCTGAAATTCAAGAAAACAAATGAGCCCCAAAATTTCAGTTGGAAAAACATATTGCTGTGTGTTACTTCCTTCCCCTTTCTCTTAAACTAAACAGTAGGGGATGGACAGCCTACAAAGGCATCTGGGCTTTTACCTGATGACTCATAAATAAACTCTACTTATACTTTTCTAAGAAAGAAAAGTCAAATGTTACCTGGAAACCCTGGAAAATCTGCCTACTGGGTTAGTATTACGAAAGCATTCCCAGCCTACATAGGGAAGGTTGTCCAGCCTTAAGGCTTCCCTATGAAAGGTCCATCTAGACCAGGCCCCCTCTACTGACTTTCCACGGAATCTGATCAAATTCAGATGTAGAACACAACCAGACTGGGAGTCTCTCCAACACACACACATACACACACCTATGTATGTATGTATATGTATGTGTATATATGTGTATGTGTATATGTATGCATTAAGAATAGCCCTGGGAAATGTCTAGAATGATAGCAAAGTTGTTTCCCTAAAGATATTTTTTTTGTTGCTTAGCTATTTTCTCCTGGAACCAACATGCTAGGAATGTACTGCGAAACCTGTTTAAATGAAGTTACAAATGGTAAAATCCACAACCAGCAAGAGCCCATATGGCATGAGGCAAATGGAACCCACACCTCAGCAAACATTTATTAATTTATTTGCTAATTCCCTTTCAATTTTTAGAAATTTTGTTTCTTGCAAAATTGCTCCAAGGCACAAAAAGCAAAGAGAATGCTTCTTATAATAAATAAAACAATAGCAACTAAAGAATTTAGAGTAGTAATAATAATAATATTAACAGTAATTTAAAAAAAAGCAACTGAAGTCATTGTGGTAATGCTGTTCTACTGGGGAAGATCAGATGGAATACACAGCAGAATATTATATATCAATAGATAGGTGAAAAACCATGGAAATATAATTTCACCAATAAATGTCTAAAGATTCACTCCCTCAATCTATGATGAATTTCTTCTTCGAACTTTAGATACTTGACTCTTTTTCTTGGACTTTTCTCTCCCTTCTCTTATCTCCATCCCTTTCCACCATCCCAATTACCCAGTACTATGTTATACAGCAAAGATCAGTGTATTTGGAGTCAGACGACCTGCGGCTAAAGCCAGATTCTGGTATTCATTATATGTGCCACTTTGGCCAAATCATTTTACCTCTACGGGCTTCAGTTTCCTCATCTGCCGAATGAAGCGGTTGAACTAGACGGCCTTGAATGTCTCTTCTTGTTCTAAATTTGTGATCCAATGAACTCACAGATCTTCTTTGCTCTGGGCAATGGTAGAGCATAGTACCAATGAGGCCAAGGTTATAGTTTTGATACCTTAAAAGTTCAGTTATCTGTACTCTGTTCCATGGGTACAAATTATACTCTAATCAAGACCAGCCAGATTGCAAACAAATATCATTGTTCATCACTGGAGCTGAGCATTTGAGTTTCTTTGATTTTTCCTAGTCTGTTTCTCTACTACTAGAAACACACTCATCCACTGGTCTATAAGGATATCTAGAGATGAACATTCATCAGTGGCCACTGGCCTGGGTCATACTGACTAGCTTAGAATTGCTTTCTAGCCCCACAAAGATACACAGAGACACATAAAAACCATCCGCAAAGGAATTCTACCTTCCTAGGGGTTTGGGAGATAAGACTTGAGTCTCCTAGAAGAGTGCTCAGAACGTTACCTCAAAAAGAATCATCCAGATTCACAAAGCAAAGGAAAGAGGACCTCACCACTGTATGCTGCAGGAGCAGATGTATGTATGTCAATGCATTCAAACGTGAGATTCCTAGAATGTCCTTTTTCTGAGGCATAGCTCTGAAAATGACTCTCCAATGCTGGAGGAACCAACCACATTCTATAATGAGAACAGGAAGACGTTTTCCTCTGGGCTAAGCAGTCGTTGTCATATAGCTGCTTGTGCTTAGAAGAGGAAATTGTCTTGTGGTGGAGTTGTAGGTGTGGGGCTTGAGTTTCTTCAGCATCTGTGCAGAGACTGGAAACAGATGTGAGGGCTCCAACCATGTGGATGGCTTATGAGTTCATCACTACTGGAAAAACAACTTAAAATATATGTTTTACTGAAATTGGGCAAGTAACGTAATTTTTCCTATATTAAGAACAACATTCATATAATTTTTCACTCAAGATTTCTCAGAGTCATTTATGGTCTGCTTAATTCAGATCACTAAATCCCTACCACATTTGTAGCAATGTCCAGAAGAGAGTTTCCCCCAATATTTAAATTATTCTCTTAATGGTAGTGACACCAATGGATGACTTGCAGAGAAGATAAAGAGTAATTTAAAAACTAATCGATGTCCAATAGCTGCCCTTATGATTCCACATCTTTCGTCATCTTATCTATTGTTTCGTCCTTTGCTACAATGACTCTCTTATTGCTGACCCTTTGGTAGAGGGTGCTGGAGCTTCAGTTGTCCTTTGGGAAGTATGTTGAATCCAGCGCAAAGGTAGGGACTCGACAAGGAGCATAAGGTAGTGGTGTTTAAGTGATTTCAAAGGTATCTGGAACTTTAGGGTTATAGACTACCTTGACCTGGAAGGTTCTACCCTTTGACATTTGAGAAGGGAGAAGGGAGAAGGGGGAGAATTTATGAAGGAATATGATTCCAAGTTTCTAGGTCACCTTTTCCTAAGTGGAGGTAATTTGGTAGAGTTATTTTTGTAGGCAAACCAGTGAGTTCAAACTTGACAAATAAAAATGAAGACAACCTAGTGCAGAAGAGATCCTGGAAATAACACAATATTCTTGAGGCGGGGGGGGGGGGGCTGCATACAGAGGCTCCTGTTTGTAGCTGTCAGGCTTAGATTAGAAAATGGCAAAGGGACAGTGGCTTTGGTCAACCCAAACCTCTAATGGAGTTCAAAGGGATATAGAAGGGATTAGAGCATGCTTCAGTAAGAACATCTGTACCTTTGGATATTATGTATGGATGGGGATGAGGGATAGGGGACCAGACCTGTGATGTGATGAGTATCGGAGATTCTTAGATAAGGAAATTCCCTCTGCCAAGACAAGTTGATAATTTCATTACAACCTATAGTCAGAGTTGCCTAGATCAGAGGTATCAAACTCCTGGCCAAAGCCTGCTGCTGGCCTGCAAAACTTTCAAATGTGGCCAAAACCAGATTAAAACATAGAAATAGGTTAAAATGTAATTGAAAAATGTTTAACAAAACAAATAAAAATACAATACAATATAGTGTTAATTTGTAGTCTTCTCAGTCAATGTGCTGCGTGCTGGGATTTCTGTTTGGATTTGATTTGACACCATTGACCTAGAGCACTGAGGTTATGCCATTCAGTCAGTCCACAAGCGTTTATTAAGCACTTATTACACATCAGTTGGGGCAGCTTTTTTTTTTTCTGAGGCAACAGGTTAAGTGACTTGCCCAGGGTCACAGAGCTAGAAAGTGTCAAGTGTCCAATACCTCA